CAAAAAGTACAGTTTCCATCATCTAGGTGTTTGCCGACAGTTGCACTGCAAGGACTGCAACAAGAACGAGCACATTACCCGTTTCTACAGAACTCGGATCCAATGCATCACTTCAACCACAAATGTTGGGACCAGTCTAATATGCTACCTTTGTGGTGAAATAGGACATTTAAAAAGGGACTGTCCAGTAGAGGAGAATAACGGGGGAATCGGAGGAGTTTGACCCCAGAATATCAAAAGGCATCAAAGGATTCTGCTACAATTTTGGTACACTTCCAAACCCCAATAATTAGTTATAATTATAATTAACCTCTTGTTCAAATCAAATCTAAGCACTTGTATGAAACTGGGAACTCTATCAGGTAAACTATAATGGTTTAATGTATACATTAGGACCATTCATACTTAAGATTTGTAGACTGAGAGTGAGAGATTCCACCTCATCTTCTTTTCTTTGTCTGGATGTGGATTTAGAGCAGAGTCACTCAGTCAACCGTCCTTCCAATCTTAATTATACTTGACTTGTATATACCAAACGGTTATGGAGAGACCTAGTAGGGATCACATCATGAAAGTTCATTATTGCAAATTATTAAAACCCTCGTATAGTTGGTACTCGTCTAAGTTGAGTCAAAATATTCATGGTAAAAATACCAAAGTTAGTTATTCATCCTAGTATTCATTCTTCCTTTTAGATCATCACGACATCTAATTCATCAAAAAGTTCCAACATTGTCCCAGAGGAACTGCCAAGATTACCACCGTAACGTCAAGTCGAGTTCCGAATCGACTTAATTTTAGGAAGAGATTCATCAGACCAAGCTTCTCGCCATGGGGAGCACTGGTCTAGTCCATTAAGAAGGAAGACAAATTGTTTTGTATGTGCATCGACTACCGAGAATAGAACAAACTTACCATCAAGAATTGTTACCCTCTTCCTTGCATCAACGACATATTTGATCAACTACAAGGAGCGAACTATATCTCAAAGATTGGTCTACGATCCGGGTATCACCAATCATGAGTGTTAGAGGAGGATGTCCCAAAGACAACCTTCCAAACTCGTTATGGACACCATGAGTCTGTAGTGATGCCCTTTCAGACTAACCAACGCAACAACTGTAATAGGGCGTGTCGTCCTTACTTGGATCAGTTTGTCATTGTCTTCATCGATGACATACTTATCTACCCCCGAAGTAAGAAAGAGCCTAGTCAACATCTACGAAGAGTCTTAGAAACATTACGATCGGAGAAGCTCTACGCGAAGTTCGCTAAGTGCGAGTTTTGGATCCGAAGAGTCAAATTCTTGGGTCATGTTGCTAGCAAAAGGGGAATTCACGCGGACCCTTTCGAAATTAAGGCCATTGAGAACTGGTCAGCACCAAAGACACCTACGGAAATTCGCCAATTTTTAGGTCTCACTGGCTACTATCATAGGTTCATATAGAAGTTCTCTAGCATCATAGAGCCACTTACCACCTTGACCTAGAAGGGTGTAACTTTCAATTTGGAAGAGAGATAAGATGCTGCATTCCAAACACTGAAGCAAGAACTATGCAACACACCTACATTGTCCTTTCCAGAAGGAATAGAAGACTTCGTGGTCTACTATGATGCATCTAATTAAGGCCTTGGTTGTGCTCTTACGCAAAGAGGAAAGGTCATTGCCTATGGCTCAAGATAGTTAAAGACACACAAATTCAGCTATACTACATACGATCTCGAATTAGGAACAGTCGTATCCGCTCTAAAGATCTGGAGATACTACCTGTGTGGTGCAAAGATTACTATATTCACAGACCACAAAAACATTTAACACCCTTTCGACCATGAGTTATCATACCAACGAGTTCAATGAACGAAGCAAAGTCGTATCCCGGAAGTGAAAGGTTCGTTGGAATGTCATGCGAGGACCTATATTCACTTGGGAATGCGAGGATCAAGTGGAACTTCTATTTGTAGCATAATTATCAATTTTACTTAAACTCTAATTTCGGGACGAAATTCCCTCTAATGAGGGGATGATGCGACAACCCGATATTTCGAATCAATGTAATGATCTAAAAGTCAAGAAGTGTAATCTCTTTTGATATAATGAAAATAGCATCAAAAATAAAATGTTGAAAAGTATCTATTGGGTTACATAAAATGATAGATGTCATTACACCATAAACGTACGTAAAAAGAACGTCCAAATCTGACTTCGTATGAAGAAGTTATGATTTTTCCAAGTTCCGGGTATAGCAGTAGACAACTAAAAACTCGAAATAGAGATCGAGAGATTTTTGGCCGAAACAACTTAAATGAGAATCGAAGATCTCAACAATAGTAGCGCAACGGTAAAAAGTCTGACGAAAACGGGCATCGGATGAAGAAGTTACAGATTTTAAACGGACTTTTCGTGTCCCGACCTATTAAAAATAAATTCAAAACTAGCCGACTAAGTCTAAATGAAAGTTGTAGAGTACATTCTCACCTAAGCGTTCATATAAAGAACGTCAAAAACGGAGCTCTTATACGAAAGTTACGGATTTTAAAAGTTCGAGGTACACAAACCAAGACGATTTATGCCCAACGTACCCTTGTACGCCCATCGTAATCGGGTGCTAGGCCTTGGTTCGTCCACGTCACCCCTATGCCTCTATGCTCCTGTCCAATCCGAAGTACGCATGCAGTAACGTCCGGAACGCCCAACGTAACTCCGAAGTACGCCCAGCGTACGAGCTGTGAAGGCACTATGCCCCACGTAACTCCGAAATACGCCCATCATAAGAAGCCTCTCACACCCCTATAAATAGGATGCGAGGGTGCCAACCATTTTTGCTAATTTCTTCCCTTTCTTGTGTCGAAGCACTGCGTTTAAACCCCCAAAGCCATCCCGACATTCCGGTTTTCATATCCAAGTTCGGAAGGGAGTTTCACGCTCCCGAGGCTCCCCAGATTCCCCAGATTCCCCAAATTCCCGAGAATCTTGAGAAATCAGCTTTTCTAGTCGAAGTTCTGCTCGACTTTCATCCCACTCTCTTCAAACTACCAACTGAGTTCATACCCCTACAAACACACCTTAAATACGTTTAAAATGCTTTTTAAATACTTTTAAGGGGGGAATACAAGTAAACACCGAGTTATTATCCTGTGAAAAATATCTATCTTTTGCTATGCATTTCATATTATTGTTTTAACTATCATTTAAAGTCGTTATCATGAGAAACACTTCACAAACACTTCTTTACCCTCTTGGGTTACAATGCGTTTTATAAATGAGAAAATATGTTTTATTTATAAGTATGTATTCTTCATATCAAGGATCATCTTTTCATACAAAAGGTATTTCATTGTATTACTCGTGAACTCGTTGTTAGAAATCATGTGAGACATATGGCTTTGTTTGTACCAAAAGAAAGTCCCCATCTTTAATCAGAGTCTCCTGGAGGGAGAGCGCGACTTTGTGTATAAATCTATACGGAGTAGACGACCCCGCACCCTGGCTGTTAGCTACAGTTCATCATTTGGGGTGACAAATGTCGACATTAGTACTACGTCTAGTATGGTTATGAGAAACTCACAAACCGTTGAAACAACGACTCTTGTACGTAGTAATATATTTAACTCAATCATGCTCAGGGGGTAATAACTATAAAATGGGGTATTATTAGCATGTTCATACATCAGGATAAACACCTTCTTAACCAGTTTTACTTAAACATACAACTATACATTCTTCATTCTAAGCACGACATATTTGCTTACAGGTTACAACCTTGGTTATTTAAGACTGCTTCTCACATATAGGAAAATTTAGGATTTTATGGTTTAAATACATTCATTCTATACAACTACGGTTTTACAACATCATTCTTAAGAAAATATCGGATTTTCTGAAATCAAACGCGGACTTTTCAAATCGCATACAATCATTCAAATGAACTTGTGAACTCGCCAACTTAAATGTTGACACTTTTTCTTTGAAATAATTCGTATTCTCAGGGAATCATTAAACAGGATTAGCAACTGCTTTTGAAGACTTACGCCCAGGCGTTAGTTTAATCTTTTGAATACCATAATGTAATTGATTTCTTTTACAAACATGTAGTACTACAATCATGTAAACTTTTCAGTTATGTATATGATGGTTGTGCGTACTTTCTTTACTATCTATTCAATTGTTATGATACTACATGAAGTCATCCGCCCTCGAACGATTCCGCCGTTCTGGTTTGTGGGTGTGACATCATATCCCCAAAGTGAGAATAAAACTAGTATTCCCCTCATGAAGATCCACTCCGATATGTGGGGTCCGACAAGAATAGCTACTCCAAATTGGTATCGGTTTTTTGTTACTTTCATTGATGAATTCTCACGGATGATTTGGATTTCATTGTTAAAACATAAAAATGAAGTAATACATGCCTTTAAAGAATTATACAAGTTAATAAAATCTCAATACAAGTGTGAGATAAAGATCCTTCAATATGATAATGGAGGTGGTATGTGAACCATGACATGGAAGTATTTTGCAGGGATAACTCTATCAGACACCAAACATCATGTTCAAACACGCCTCAACAGAATGGACTCGTAGAAAGGAGAAATAAGCAAATACTTGAAATTGTGCGAGCCTCTTTATTGAAGATTCCACGCCAATACTGGGGAGAAGCGGTAAGAAATGCTGCATATTTGATGACTATAACTCCGTCAAGAGTTATAGAGTTTAAAATTCCATTACAACTATTACACGAAAAACTAGATATTCCAATTGGGTCTAATCTCGAACCATGCGTGTTTGGGTGTGCATCATATGTACACTCTAATACTGGAAAACTAGAACCACGGGCAATAAAGTGTATGTTTTTAGGGTACGCTGACTTCAAAAAGGGTACCAATGTTACAACCCGAAAGAAAAGAAAATGTATGTTACTCGTGATGTTAATTTCCATGGGAACACCTCCTATTTTACTCATGAATATTCCCCTCAGGGGGAGAGGTCGGATGAGGGTAACATGCATAATATCAATAAAGATATTGGGCTAGATGAAGTAATAGATATTCTCGAAGAACATGAAGATGGGCCAGAAACGCATGAAGATGAGCCAGAACTTACTTATAAGCAGCCTGATAATTTCGAGCAAGATAGTACAACCAGCCCAAGCCCAACCTATGCCGAGTCGGATCCAACGTCATCACTAGGTACATTAACTAATGAAAACTCTAACAGTTCTCATGAGAATGTCGATGTATATGTATATCCAGACACGAGATATTAATGACGAGGAACGCTTTTTTGTTATGCTACTAATACTTGTACTTGCTCTGCTATTCTGCCCCCATCCTGGCTGAGGAAGAGTTACGGGCGCGTAAAAAAATACATTGATGGGGGGTGGGCATACTATGTGTAATGCTTAACTCATTTACGATAAATAATAAATAAAAAGGCCATTCTATTTCGACAAAAGACCCACACCCAAGTTCCATAACTTTTGGTTCGCTATCCCAATCATGATTTTGCTACCCCCAGAGGGAAAGGCCCTTCCCTTTTGGGCCGGTTGTGGGCGAGTAGGGATTCGAACCCCCGACACCGTGGTTCGTAGTCACTTGCTCTAATCCTATGAGCTACAGGCCCCACTCCGTCTCCACTGGATCTGTTCCCGGGAGTACCCTTAAGTAAGAAAAAATAGAGGGATACCACGGAGGCAGTACCAAATGGATCTTATGTCAAAATCGAAGTACCCGATCAATCACTACGTGTCCACAAATAAGCTGGTTGAACCACAACGACGCATGGTGGAGGAGTTAGCCACTGTAGTCATCCTAAAAACCATAGAAGAAGCCATGAGAGATACGAAGTGGAAAAAGGTTGTATATGAAGAGTTATATGCATTAAAACGGAATCATACGTGGGATGAGGTAGTACTCCCTCTAGGAAAGAGAACCGTAGGGTGCAGATGGATCTTCACAGTCAAACTAGATTCGAATGGAAAGATAGACAAGTATAAGGCTAGACTAGTCGTAAAGGGCTATACATAGAAGTACGGTATAGACTATGGGGATACTTTTGCACCAGTGGCGAAAATAAATACTATTAGAATCCTGGTGTCAATTGCTGCAAATAGAGACTGGTCACTTAAACAATTCGATGTAAAAAAACGCTTTTTTAAATGGCTACTTAGAAGAAGAAGTGTTCATGGAATCACCACCTGGAATGAATTATGGTGACAAAGTATGCAAGTTGAATAAGGCATTGTATGGACTAAAACAATCCCCGAGAGCGTGGTTTGGGAGGTTTTCAAGGTTCATGAAAAATGTTGGATATAAAGAGTCATATGCTGATCATACTCTATTCATAAAGAATTATGGGAAGAAGATAACAGCCCTGATTGTGTATGTCGATGACATGGTAGTGACTGGCAATGGTCTTGATGAAATAAACAAACTACAATCAATATTGAGTAAGGAATTTGAGCTAAAGGATCTTGGAAACTTGAGATATTTTTTGGGCATCAAGGTGGCAATGTCTAAACAGGGAATTACAATGTGCCAACGGAAGTATGTACTGGATCTCCTTGCCGAGACAGGTATGCTGGAATGTCAACCGATTGACACACCTATTGAAGTTAACCACGGGTTGACTCTTCTGTCAGGTCAAGTACCAACGAACAAAGAACAATATTAGAAACTGGTCGGAAAACTAATATATTTATCACATACACGCCCTGATATTGTGTATGCGGTAAGTGTAGTTAGTCGTTTTATGCATGCACCCAATGAAAGCCACATGAAAGCCGTATATAGAATCCTTCGCTATTTGAAGTCTTCACCAGGAAAGGGGTTGTATTTTGCGAAGAATGGAAATCTAGAAGTCATAGGCTATATTGATGCCGACTGGGCTCGAGATAAGTCTGATGGTAAGTCCACTTCAGGGTATTTTACTTTTGTGGAAGGAAACTTAGTAACTTGGAGAAGTAAGAAACAAAAATTGGTGTCTTGATCAAGTGCAGAAGCAGAGTTTCGGGGCATGGTTCATGGAGTGTGTGAGTTATTATGGGTAAAACGGGTGCTAAGGTATCTTAGCATTGGTGTGAAGGAAGCTATTAATCTTTATTGCGATAATCAAGCGACTGTGAAAATTGCAAACAATCCGGTTCAACATGATCGAACAAAACATGTTGAATTAGATCGTCATTTTATTAAAGACCACCTCGAGAAGAAAACAATAAATTTGTCATTTGTTATCTCGAAGAAGCAGCTAGCTGACATGCTAACTAAGGCGGTGAATGCAAGACTATTTAGTGACTCTCTGGACAAGCTGAGAATGATTGACATTCATTCCCCAGCTTGAGGGGAGTGTTGGTTAAAGTGAATATTGCATAAGATCAAACTATCTTTGGCTAGTATTGAGAAGATCAGATAAACATGGAAGTTATTGGGTGTTGTTATCGTCGTATCCCTTCCTTGTATAGTTCCTTTTTTTGTGTTCAAATCACTATATATATATATATATATATATATATATATATATATATATATATATATATATATATATATAATCCCTCTGTAAAGAAAAATATATATAAAAGAAAATTTCCTTTCATACGAATTTCTTGTTTTTACATCTTTCATCTTATTTTGGTTGTATAAATAGTAAGTCATATATATCAAAAAATTAATGTTTTCATCATAAGTATTAAAATAAAAATTCTTTCATCTCGTGTTTTTCTTTACTCTATAATTTGTCTTGTTATTTCGATTGTATTTTATAACATATCTAAAATTTATAAACAAATAAATTGAGCTTTTAGCCAACAACATAACGTGAGGAACCGCGGAGAGTCGACTATACTTGCCATTTGTTCGACGAGACTTTGGATTTCAACTAACACATAAAGCAAATACTTATATTTAGGAGGGTATAAAGTGTAATATTTTACATGAATATAACAAACTGCCACGCGCGAATGGATTAAGCGAAAATTCTTTCTTCAAAAGGGTTAAACCACCTGACATCTTTCTATAAAAGCTCCAGTCCGCTTCCATTTCCTTCAACCGTCTACAACTCTCTCACACAACCAAGCGCCTCCACAGAAGCCATAACCACCACCGCAATGACGTCGACGAGCATTTTCGATCACAAAGTTCCCGACGATGACCACGACTACTACGACGTCACATTCTTCGAAGATACCATTTTGACCTTAGTCACAGCCAAACCATCCTACGTCGACTTCTGGATCAACGACATCGAAAGCATCCACCGCCGCCGTCTCCACTCCCTCGTCGTCGGCCTCTATATTGAGTGGCGTCCTAACCGTCGGAATAACGTAAACCCTGTCGCCACCCTCCAACTCTGCGTTGGACACCGCTGCCTGATTTTTCAAATCATCCACGCCCCTACAACCCCGTTACTCAGAGACTTCCTCCTCAATCCTTCCTACACCTTCGTCGGCGCTGGCATCGAGGACGACGTCAAGAAGCTGAAGGACGATTACAATCTCGACGTTGGGAGGACGATGGACTTAAGAGCGTTGGTTACGGAGAAGTACAATCGACCGGATCTTGGGAATGTTGGGTTGAAAGGATTAACAAGAATCGTCCTTGGGAAGGAGTTGATCAAGCAGAAGATTGTTTCGAAAAGCAGATGGGATAATCGACGGCTGTCTCCGGCGCAGGTGGAATATGCATGCATCGATGCTTTCTTGAGTTTTGAGATCGGTAGGATCTTGATTTCTGGGAATACGAACTGATTTAGATTTGATTTCGCAATCTTATGATCTATATATGGTACTCTTTTGCAAGAAAAGATTAGGGTTCTTGATACTTCTTGATTGATTTGCATGTAGATGTTGATTGTTTGATGCATGATATAGGGTTTAACAAAACAATTTGTATATGACGTGGACATATGTTTTACTTTTTACTGTTGGTTTAATGGAATGGATAAAGTTCTGAAAATTTGGTGCAGATTAATTACAAATTTACAAGATACTTATCCATTTAAATGTAGACCATATTCTTTGTTTTTTTTTGTATATTTAATTTTTGACCTATAGTAAGTTGTTAACCATTAATCGAACAAATGGACGAAGTTTTGGAGGGAAAGATGATAGTCATGGTTTTAAAATGATCTAAAGTGTAAACAACTTTGATTACAGATTTATATATTAAATTCATATTGTATACTATTGAAGAAATTTTAATATCGATAAAGTTTACGATTTGTTGTAAGAAATATAAGTTACAAAATAGTTTTTCTTTTATTAAATTTTCATCTATTAGTAAAAGTGACAAATGATTTATTTTGACGAGCTTTTTATATATTGTGTATTGTTTTAGTGGTATTTTTATCATTATTAGTTAAATTCGTTCCATTCATGTGTATGTTGTTACGGACCAGACAACATTAATCAATGGTTCACTCCAATAAAATAACTAAACTTAATAAGGGAATGATAATCTCCATTTCAATATCTTGTTTATTTCATTAGTAGGTTTGTATTATATGACATGTTTGAAAAAGTTAAAAGTTATAAACATTAATCATTTTTTAAATTAAAATTTTGAAATAAACACCAATGAAATGATAAATAAGTTATTCAATTTATAGTAATAAAAAAATATAATCATAAATTTTAAAAATTTCTTAGAATGAAACATTAGATGACATATTGTTAGGTTTACTATCATTGTTTAAAATTAATATTTTTAATTTATTTGATGTTTTGAACTGTGGAAAATACAATAAACAACTGTCCATAAGTTAACACCGGTGTCTTAAAAACAACATCACCTGCAATGGCAACTGTTGTTAACTCATCTTTATTTTCATCGTAAAACATACAAAAAAAAAATAGAAATTGTCTTCTATTAAATCCTTTTATCCGAAGTGGTCAAATACATTTTTGGAATAAAAATATGATTTTCTATATTTCTGGATATTATCTCAACTTCTATAATACGTGTACCTAATGTTATAACTCATAGTTTCGTTTCCTTACACAAACTATATTTCTGATCAATATTGGTTGGTAACGTAACTAGAAAACTAATTTTTAATATCAATTTATGAATCAACAAACCTAACGATTTAAGACCATTTAAAATATGAGATGAGTATAAACTTTAATCAAATTATCGATAACAAAATATAAATAACAAAGACTATCTAAATATAAATATTCTTTTTCAACTCTCAAAAATAGTGATAACAAACAATCGTTTATTTATTAAACAACTTCATTTTTCGGCGTTTGAATTGCATAACTTTATCTTAAATTATTGTGGTTTGATACCGATAATGATAATTTTTTAGATTAGATGTTTAATTGTACCTTGTTTCAAAGTGTTTATTTCAATGTAAATTTATTACATTATTACCTTTGTTTTAATTTTAAAAATTATCATATTTTTTTTGTTTGGATTGTTGTTGATCATTAATTTTCTTGATATCATGCTTTAAGTTTCTTCGTCAATTGACTATTTAGAACGTCTCTTCCTCAACTCCTTAAATGTTGAATTGTTTCTTTCTATTAATGTACATTTTTTTTTTATAATTGCCTCATGAATTGTTTATTGCCTATAATTAACTATTGCATCATTAATTGTGTTTTATATTAATAACTGCTAGATTTAAGTTTTTTTTTTTCCATTTTTTTTTCTAGTTACTAAAAGAATGAAAAGGATATAAATGACGTATAAACTTTAAATCACACCATTTTAAAACATCAATTGTTATACATAAAGAAAAACTATTGTTTACAAATCATCTTATGTTGGACTAAATATATAACATCTGAATATCAGACTCACTAATACGAATTCCCATAAGATGGTTGTCAAATAAAAATCATATTTTAATTCAACTTTCTTAAAAATTGCTCAACACTTTAAAATTACTACCGAGATAAAAATATTTGGTCATTTTAAAATTACTATTGGGCATGGTCATAACATCTTTTTTTTTTATTATAATTTCTTAACCTGTTAACAATTATCTAATTAAGACCAACAACATGAATCATAAAAGTCATGTTCACATATCATTTAGTCCAAGTCCAAACATCAATGCCTCATAAAAATTTGGCCAAAAAATTGCAAAAAAACACTATTCACTTGCCATGTATATCCTCGAAATTCACCTGCACACCTCGCTTTTTAACCAGTACTTTCTTTTGCATATTATAAGTAAAAGACCAAATTACCCGTCAATATTTTTACTCTTGCATATTATCAAGAGATGAACAAATTGCCACACATATCCCGAATACAACCCAACAACCCAATCAATTGTAAACGAATGTCTTCAAAAACATTAGCAACCACTTTCTCTTTTCCACATTTCTTATTTTATAAAAAGCCTACTATTTCTTTCTTCCATATATGATACATATGATGTTTCTGAGAGCAAGCTTTTTAATTAAATTTCCAATGCTTTCCTTTTCCAAAGTGTCATGTAAAGCTAGAATTAAATCATTCCAAAGCCAAGGAATTTCGACATATGCTACACAAAAAAAAATCTGTTATCTTCATGATCTTGGATGTTGCGACTTCAGCCATCAAAAAGCCTAAAATATCCACTAAAACAATGGAAAATAAATCAATAAAATGATATTAAAAAGAAAAAAAGAAAAAGAGTTAATAGTCAATAATAAAATAGTATCTTGGCCTAGATGACTTAATTCGTAAGGCACATACAAATACCATAAGATAAAAAGTAAATAAAAACGGGAAGCTAACCTCTAATAGTAGGAATAGTATTTCATGCTTTAAGTCATTCATTAAATCTTATGGATTGAAACATACAAGCATCGATTCATTTGTTTGTATATAAATAATCAACAAAAAGTAATACATACAAATCTAAATTAAGTCAAAGAATTAAAGAAATAAAACTACAAGTTAACAGTAATCAATGGATCAAATCAATCTTAAAAATGGTTGAATCCAAAAACTTATCGTTTCATAATATATGACAAAATAAGTTTATTCTTGGAAAAAATAGGAAGAATGAAACAATCTTTTACAGAAATATTTGAAATCATATGCATCAAGTTTTCTCATTAGAAAATAGGATGAAGTGAGTAAGCATTTAAACAACTTCAGTAAATCATCTAGGATCAAGTTTGCTTCAGTTAATCCATCTCTTAAGCATTTAAACAACTCCAGTAAATCATCTAGGGTGTGTAGTTAAGAGCGTAGGGATTCTCACCACCTTTTTCGTGGATATAAGGTTCGTTGGAAATGGAACTCGGATGAGAAAGTTATGACACTTTGAAGTTATTGGTAATATTGGTCCCTAATGGAGATAAGTGGCAAGGAAATCCCATGCATGCAAGGTGACATGCGCGAGAGTACAACCAGCGTAGAAGGAATAAGTAGACGTGAGTGTGGGAGGCGTATGCCCAGCGTACAGGAAGTACGCACAACGTACGTTCAGAGTCCCTAAACCCTAATTTTTAGGGTTGAGCACAATATAAAGAACATTATGTCCATCAGACCAGCCTCCCTCTCACCCTTAGATAGCTCCTACGAAACCCTAATCCATTGTTTGTGTGTTCGAGCTTAGAAGACCATTTTGGAGTGCATCTTGGTGTTTTGAAGGAAGGTGGCCATTATTGAAGGATCATCAAAGGAGAAAAGGCTTATAGATCCAGAACCTTATCAACATTTGGCATTCAAATAAGGTATAAGGCTTTTAACTTGGTGTTTATTTGCTTAGATCTCTTGAAGTATGGGTTTTTGGACCTTTTTGGTCCTAAGGATGAAGCTTTATGGTTCAAATGTGTTTCCTAGGCTTAAGGTTGCCACCCTTTGTGCTATTTAAGTCCCTAAGATAGAAAGTTGCCATCTTGAAGGTCTTGGTGTGTTTATGCATGAGTTAAGGTCAGTTTAATGGAAGTAGATTGCTATACTTTGAGTTTGGGTTCATTTGGGTCTTGTAAAGTCACCAAGTCAGTGACTTTACGGATTAAGACGTTGAAGAGGACTTGGATCTGTGATTTTAACCTCTATAATGAAGTATTAAGTGCTTGATGGTATAAGTGGCCTAACAGAGCAATACGTTAGGCATACAAGCCAAATAACCTGTATGCTTAGTGTATAGTTGAGTACGCCATGCGTAATCAGATAGTGGGTTAGGTTTTGTTTTGGGCCTCGGTTTGGGCCATTCTTTAGATTTCTTTACTTTGGGCCTTAATAGGCCATCAGAAATCAGATAATTGGGCTAAGAATATGATGGGCTTTAGGGTAAGGCTCATTATAAGGGTTGGGCTCAATTTAGAAAATTGGGCCATTAGTGGGCCATGGGTGGGCTTGGGGAGTCTACCTAGTATTAGGCCTTTCATGTTATGGTTTTAGGCCTTAGGCATGGACCAAATTAGATCAGGGGTAAAATAGTCATTTTACCCTAAGAATGATTATTGGTATTTGACTAAGGGGCTGTTTGTTTTTTGTGTGAAGATCTGCGCAACCACTTTTGTCTGCACCGCGCAGAGAACGCGCAGACATATGCTCTCGCAGATTGTTTGTTTTTTGGAAGTGCGCAGATCAGAAAACGTCTGCGTGAGGTCTTCCTGGCGCAGACATGGACCACTGTCTTCAAAGGTCTTCAGACCTCATTTTAACCTAAACCAAAAAAAAAAAAAAAAACATGGCCATCGTGCAGTTTTTTTTTTCTTTCATTTTTTTGTTAAAAATGCATTTTTAATGTTTATAATATGAAATTAAGTTTAAAAATTCAATTTATTTT